CTCAAACTCCATCCCAAGAAATGCCACTTGTTCCAGAAAGAGGAGCTTTACTTGAGACACATTATAAGTGAGCATGGTGTGTGGATTGATCCTGACAAGGTGAAAGCAGTGTGTGATTGGCCAACACCAGACAATATGGGAGAGTTAAAAAGTTTCTTTGGACTCTGTACTGGAAGTTTGTGAAGGACTTTACAACTGTTGCTGCTCTACTACATGATTTGACAAAACAAGGCCAGAAGTTTGAATGGACAGTTTCTTTCCAGCATGCTTTCAAGAAATTGGAAGAAAGATTGGCCTCAGCTCCACTTTTAAAGCTTACAGATCTCTCACTGCCGTACATATTGGATTCTGATGCTAGTAATGTCAGAATTGGAGGAGTTTTGTCTCAGAAAGTGGGTAAAAACGAACATGTGGTGGCCTACTTGAGTAGGGTCCTGATTAGACCAGAGAGGAACTACTGTGTAACACGAAGGGAACTCCTTACTATAGTAAAGAGTCTGACATATTTCCATCCTTACCTCTATGGGGCTAGGATTACCATCAGGACAGACTTAGCTGCATTACGCTGGTTAAGATCATTAAAGATCTCAGAGGGACAACTGGCACGTTGGATCGGAGGATAGATCAGTATGATTATGATATTGAATACAGAGGATGAAAATCTCATGGAAATGCCGACAGACTGAACTGAAGACCCTGCAAAATTGAGTGCAGACATTGCTGAACAAGAGAGGTTGAACTAACTAGGTGCCATCAAGCTGAACTGAAAGTGACTGAAGCAGTTGATGATGGTGAAGTGGAACCAAGTATAGATATTAAAGCAGAACAGGAGAAAAACCAAGATTTGAAGCCAATAATTGATTTTCTACAAGCAAGTGTTCTGCACCCTGCTTGGGAGAAGGTGTCTAGCTTAAGCCCTGTGACAAAGAACTATTGGGCACAATGGGACCAGTTTGAAGCTTGAAGATGATATTCTTGTCCGGAGATGGGAAAGTGACGACCTGGCAAACAGTTATACCGAAAAAGTTACGGGAAGTTGTGCTGCGTCAATTCCATGATAGTTTAACAGGAAGAAATCTTGGAATTAAGAATATATTGAGTCACCTACGGCAGAGATTTTACTGGATAGGTATGAGGCAAAATGTCGAAGAATGGTGCAAGACCTGCAGTACATGTTGTGCTAAAAGGTAACACAAGCATAAGAGACGTGCTCCAATGAAGTTATATCAAGCTGGTGCACCAATGGAAAGAGTAGCCATTGATATTGCTGGTATGTTGCCCGAATCTAGTGCTGGAATCAAGTACATTTGTGTGGTGATGGATTATTTCACCAAGTGACCTGAGGCATATGCAATACCAAATCAGGAATCTACAACTGTAGCTTCGGCTATTAGTGACTTCTTCTTCAGGTTTGATATGCCACATGAACTGCATTCAGATCAAGGCCGTAACTTTGAATCAGCTGTGTTCCAAGAATGCTGCAAGTTGTTTGGCATCCGAAAGACCAGGACAACGCCACTTCACCCACAGTATGATGGGCTGATAAAAAGTACAATTGGGCACTGGGACAGGAATTGGCAAAGTTTTGTAATAACCACCAAGATTATTGGGATGTCTTACTCCCTCCACTGTTGATGGCCTATAGAACAGTAGAGCATAAAGCCACGGGGTACACTCCAGCAAAGCTGATGTTTGGTCGGGAACTTCGGTTGCCAGTGGATCTGATAACAGGACGCTCACCTTATGAAGAGTTGCCTGAAAATGTGCCATAGTTCGTGAAAGTGTTACCTGAAAAGGTGGATGATATTAAAAACGTCTGTTGATTCCATGAAACTATGTTATGATAAGAAATCTACCGAAGTCAGCTTTGTACCAGAAGACAAGGTGTGGTTGTATAATCCGAGGAAGACCAAAGGGAAGTCTCCTAAATTGTCCCATATGACATAGTGGATCGTCTCTCAGACGTGAATTTCTGAATAAAATGTGATCGGCGTGGAAAGCCAAAGGTGGTGCATGCCAACAGACTTTGGCATTATCATGGTCCAGAACATTTCAGTTGGAACGAAATGAACAACAGAACAGATGACGCTGCTGAAGACGTGTCACCCGAAAAAATCCACTGTTTAAGAAGAAACTCTACTCGGTTTTGCTAAGGGAAACAGTGAAGCAGTTAATGAAGTAACTACCACTAATGTGCTCTGATAAAGGTCTTCATAAGTCTCCAAGAAAACACACGTTACTGCCAAAAAACCTTATTTTCCTCTTATTAGTGTTTAGCCACAAATATGTGGGGTTTAGAATTTTGGCCAGACTGTGTTTCTCTTCACAAAATTGTAAATTGCTCATGTTCAGGCAGGTACCGCAATTGCCAACCTTGCAGCGGCAAATGAGCTTCGTTGAATTCTTTCTCGGCTATTTCTATCGATAGAACTTGCGAAAACCACGAAGAAAGGTTTTATAGAGCTCAGAAACTAGATATTGCATTACCCAATATATGCAACCACTACCGTGTTTTGTGTCGGATTTTAGACTGAGGTATGGGTTTTACTTTTTCATAGCCTGGAAACTAGTGCGAATTCGGTCACACTGGTAGGTGATTCATATACCAGGTACCGTAAGGAATTCAAATCTTCAATCAGAATTTTGTAAAAAGAGACGGTACTGGAAAGCTTTGTTTGAAAATCAACCCACAAACATGTCTCGTGACTTTAAGACTGGGTGTTAATAAAAATGCCCGATATTATAAAATGACTAACACTTTGATGGTGCAGTGGTATGGCTACTAGTTTACACGTTCGTTTAATACGATAATCTTTATTACTAGCAGCATCCTAGCAATATAATGTTTTGACATTTTGTATCCGTGTATCTGAGAGAATTCTGGTTTATAATCTTGGTTTGACTATGATATTTGGAAAAAGTTAAACAATGCCGAAGAGTGCTTTCACAGAAAATTAGTCTTTATATACTTGGTTACTTGTGATATATTAAGAGCAAAAACAAAAATAGTTGTAATAATCCAAACCCTCAAGTTTTGAGTTTCATTTCCAAGCTCAAACATTATATACATCATATTAGCATGTCAGCCCAATCGTTTGCATATGATTTGGCAGAACTGCTAATTTAATATGTATGGTGTGTGTGAGATTCTGAATGAAAGTACAAGTACAGAAGTCATGTAACGCTCTGAAGTGTGAACTTTGATATGTAATAGTTATATTGAAAATGATTTGTCCTGTTTTAAATATTGTTGCGTCAGCGAGGTCACGTGACTAGTATCACGCCACTTTTTTCTCGAACCTTCGTGAATTGTCGGGAGATTACTAGATTGGGGGTAGGCTGGTATATATGAAACGGTCACAGCGTGACGGGACAATGTGTAGGTAATGAGTAATTGAACTGCAGTCTGAGAGTGTGTAATCGAGTATTGTCGAGCACGAGCCCGTGAGACGTTCTAGCGTTTGTTATAGAGCGACTGTTGAAATTAAGTGTATCGGTAAAGTTGTATTGGGAAAGAGTAAACCAGTTTTATTTAAGAAAGGACTATCACTAAAGTTTCGTCGGAACGAATTTACGGAAAATTAAGCAACGGCTGGAGGCGTAACAATATGTTATATTTCATTAAGTACTTATTTCTCTCTCTATATATATATTTATATACGTATTTACACTTTATTATTCTCGTTGTTGTAAGTACAAATTGGAGACTGAATAGAGGACGCTGTTGTATGTACCCGCGAAATGACAAGAGGCGTGGTTTGCCGGTAAATTTTATGTGAAGTATTACGCAAATTCTTTTTCGTCATCTGCCATTTATTGAAATAACTACAGATGAGATTTAGTAGATATGACAACAAACACGCCTAGAAAAACAACTTTAACAAGATATCAATTTAGCGGTGGCACGACGGCCCAGAGTCCCCAAGTTTCAACTAGTAGGTATGAAAGGCCAAGTTCGCCGTTTTCACCTACAAAGTTGTCGCGGATGCAAGAAAAGATCGAACTTCAAAATCTTAATGACCGATTAGCATCGTACATAGACCACGTACGAAATTTGGAAGCAGAAAACAGTCGACTAACTCGCCAGGTTCAAACCACACAGGAAACAGTTATTAAAGAAATTACAAATATCAAGTCTTTATATGAGCAAGAATTGAGTGATGCCAGAAGACTGATTGATGAGACAGCCAAAGATAAAGCAAAATTGCAGATAGAAGCTGGACGATGGAAGAAAGAAGTAGAAGAACTACAAGAAAAGTAAGTTTCTTTTAGGTTGAATGGTTATATTATAAAATTAAAAGTATGGCTTGTAGTTGTACCAGTACCTGTGTTATACACTGTGAGTGTGACGTGCGGAAATGTTTTAATTTCTGTGCCATTACTCAGTAGACGATCAACTTTTAAGGCGAATAAACGCATAGACACGAAATCTCCTTTCCCTTGCCCAATTATTTTTAAGTCTTTTTTTATAAATTATAATTATAGTTTAACAACACATTGTTATTATTAAATAATAAATATATATATATATATAAATAAAGTAATATTTGGTACATTTATTTTTTGATGCACTCACAATATCACTTGGAAAATCACTTTGAGCTGAAATTTTATTAAATGTAAAAATTGTTAGCATGATCCTAGAAAAAAACTTTTCTTTAAATTCTTATGTCACTTATGTGTTGGAGTTTAGGGCTTCTCTGGAAAATGATACTCATGCTTTTGTTGAGTATCTAGATTTTTATGAAGGTCTTTGACAAGGTTCCTCATTGTACATTGATAAGTAAGTTATATTTTTGGATAATTTGGTAAAATCTCAAAAGATGAATAACGAATGGGCATGAAAAATTAAGGTATTAAATCTTAAACAGACATCGTATGGGTACCATTCTGATTGGGAAAATATATTCACTACTGAAATCCAATGAGTTTCTGTCTTAGATACTTTTAACTTTATCTGTTTTAGTGATATGGACTACTGTATAATATAACATATCAGCAGTAACATTTCTGAATTTGATGCTGGTACTAAGTTGAAAACTTTGGAAAATACTTTTTGAATGCACATATTGAATTAGAGGATGAACATTAAAAGTTCCTTAGTTTTGTGTGGGAGTGTTTTGGTAAGTGTGAAAAATTTAGGTGTAATATTGACAAAAGTTAAATGTTTATAAGTGATGAAAAGTGTATATTGGATTCATAGATCTATTTACAAGAATTCTCTGTTCTGGAGTAAAGAAATTGTTATTTTGTACACAACTTTGATAAGGATTTAAACTAACTGCTGTCTTAGCTGAAGATGACTCCTACCTTGCTGAAGTTTGTTCCCTAGTCTTACCATTGTTATGATTATATATGAAATAGATGAGGCATCAACACTACCAGTTCCCTTAATGATCTTAAACACCTCAATCAGATCCCTTTTAACTCTTCTTTTTTTCAAGAGAATACAAGTTCAGATATCTTAACCTATTCTCGTATGATAACCTTTCCAACCCAGATGCTATCCTAGTAGCCCCCTTTGAATCCTTTCCAACAATTTGGTGTCCTTTCTGAGTAAAGGAACTTAAGATTGAAAACAATATTCCACATGTGACCTAACCAGTGTCCTATACAATGACATTATATCGTCTTTAGACATATTCAGTATTTCTGTAGATGCAATCTAAAATCCTATTCGCTCTGCCACTAGCAACAGCACAGTGTTTAGATGGCTTAAAAGACTGATAAACCAGAACATCAAGATCTTTTTCTTCCGTAATGCTGTTAAGGTTATTCCTGTCAAAATTATACTCATAATTCAAATTGTGATATTTCACTTGCATTACCTTGCCATTTATTCACTCAACTCACCAAATAATCCAAATACTTTTGTAAATTACAGTATTTTGGCACTTGTGTATAAAGCTAAAATCATAAATAATATTCAACGTTAAACTGGTATACAATTAAGAACATTTTATTTAGGCCTATCTATGGCCTTCAAAAAGTTGATGACTCTACATGTTTCGTGTATCATCTCACCAGATTTATCATATCTCTATGCAATAGCCACCTAGTTGTATTGCCCTCTGGAAGAAATTGTGTGGTCTGGTATGTGGACTACTCCTGATACTTTCCTGTCTCATTACTTAGTTACTTACCTGATTTGGCAGTTTCCTCTTCTGAGGGTTTTTGACTAACCCCAGTAGTTAATTTGACCACATCTGTTAAAGTTTTTATCAGAGGTGAGTATTTTCCTCAATCATATACTCTTATTTTTCCAGGGTCCCTTTATTATTTCACTGGATCCCACTCTGTGGCAAGTGTTGCCCAGGCAGGTATACTTTCTCTTGTCAGTTCTGCACAAGCAACCACTTTCACTATAATTATTACCGGTTGCAATAGGCTCTGTTGAAATGTGGTGTTCCATAAGACCATCTAGGCACCTACCTGATTATTATGGACTGCCACTCATGGACTACCATGAGTAAAGCTAAACAGGATCCTGCCCATCCTCAGGTTGAATAAATTGGAGTCAGTTTGCTTTTAAAAATGTATAGAACTTGGTTCACCTATTGCACAGTTTCCAGAGCACGGTTCCTCAAGACTTCCCAATGCATATTACCTCTCCAGACTCTACTAGTGGAGCTCAGGAGTCCTTACAACCCCCAGTTTCCAGTCGCTGGGGTGGCAAAAAAAGGCTTTTCCTCTAGAGTGTTTGAGCATATTCCTCCAGTCATAGAGAAGAGGGCAAAGTTGGGGGCCCACCTACTCGGGTCCCTGGATATTTTTCCCAGATGTCACTAGGAGTGGCACCAGCCTCCACTGGAGCCTACTCATAATTCTGGTTCAGATTTGACACGAAGCTATCTGGTTGGGGTGCATGGCCCTTCTCTTTGATCAATGTCAGTTTTGTATATTGTTCATGGAAGGAGACCTACTATCTCCTCATAATTCTGAATGCGATGTGGTCCCATCCTAGGTCCTTGGTTGAGCATAGATTCCACATCCTTTCCATAATTCCAGGAGCAGGCAGAATACTCCTTGACTACTTGGTTGGGGAGTGAGGATGAATGTTCATAATTTCAGACCAGATGAGTTCTGTTCATTTGGATGAGTATGGCATATGTGATCCCGTCATTCCATGCCTGGAGTGTTGCCTTTTGGACTTCTTGAGGTGGAGGAAAAAGTTTTTCCACTTCGGTGTTACTTACTTTCTCATTGTGGTTTCAGTGGTGCAAAACGTATCACTCTATGGCTACAGGTTGGGATCCAATCAAAAGTTTAAATAACATTGCAGTCCAATAGCCCTAGCTATAAATGTGGGATATAGGTACCAGGACCCCTTAATTCCAACCCTCATTTGTGGAACCTCGGGTATCTGGTTGGGGCTGGCCTATATTTAGGATTATTCATATTCTATTCAACATTTGATATAGGAACTAAGTTCCTAGAGAGCATACCTGTTCAGGATGTACTGTGGTTCATGCCTGCACCAGCCCCTCCACCTTCTCACTATGGGATTCTAGCTATAGTGTCAGTGGAGGGAAGCATCTTTTGGAAGTAACATTTTCCTAAACTGAAAATGTATTTCCAATAATAATTATCTCTGCTGACACTCTCTCTCCCTACCTCCCCATTAAAAGCTGGTTTATGTCTCTAAAAAAGTCATTACATTATATGAATGAGGTGCTTATATACAGTGCCTGGATAGAGGGCACATTGAAGTTGATGGAGAATTTTGCAAATTAATATTTGTCAAGGGCATTAGAGTTAGTTATAAAAAGACAAGAGACACATTCTCAATGCTTAGATGGGCAAAGAGTGGAAATCCTGGAGATCAAGAAATAGCTATAGTGTCAGCGGAGGTAAGTATTATTGGAAATACATTTTCAGTTTAGGAAAATGTTAACCTTGTTGATATTTGATTCCTCATTTAAAATTACAGTTTTCCATTTTTAATAGATATAGTAGAGTTTTTATTGAGTTACAGTGTTGTAAATATGAGGTTTTCTAATTATTATGTTTACCAAATGGAGTCAAATTGTCAACAAAATCAGACAGGCTTAGTTAATTTTACTGTTTAGTGAATATATCAGCAATGGCAAAATATTCTGATGGCTCTTATCTTTATTGAATACGATTTTTGTGTTTATCCTGTTCAAACATTGTACATAAATAAATTGGCTAAATGGCTACCTAACTATTTGTAGTTGAAATCATGATATGTTTTAAATAAAATCATTATTACCTTTATCAGTGATTGTAAAACATGTCTTTATCATATATCAATTTACACAATATCAGTAGAAGATTACTGAATATTTTGAAAACAAACAGTCTCAAGATGAAAAAGTAACAAGGTAGAAAACAGTATCAGTGATGTAATAAAACATCTGGAAAATTATTTTATAAATGCAAGGACCAACACCTCTCTCTGTCCACCCAATAATTTCATTCTTAAACATCTTAACTATGAAATATGGAATTGGAGAACCTATTTAGTCTATACCTGTTACCATTAATTCATTGCCTTCTAGAACTGCTAAATCTTCCTGGTCTACTCCAGCTATATTATTGCTTCATCAAGTTTTAGAATTAGCTGGCCAGTTCAATAATAATACCTGGTTGAAAAACCAGAAGATTACAATGGAAAAATACCATTGGAGGCACATGAGGCTCAGTTTGAATGAATTTCTAATGTGAATGGATGGACTAGTGAATAAAAAGCCTTTAATTTTCTGCCTATTTGAAAGGACCAGCCTTAACAACATCAAGCATTCTTCCAGCTAAGAGCTGTAACAATTAATAAGCATTGGTGACTACCTTATCAAACAGGTTTAGAGTGACACATCAGAAGGAAGTTTCCAAAGTTCAGGAGCAGAGTATGATAGAAAAAGGAAACCTTAGCCAAACTTGTGGAAGATGTGGAAAAACTTGCCCAGTTATCTTATGCAGATGCTCATCTTGAAATGATGGATTTTTTGTAACTAATTGATAAATGCCATAGTGCATGAGGACATGCAAATTAGGCTAAAGCCGGCCTCAACAGTTCTAAGAACCAGCCACAAAACTCAGGAGTAAGGTTTGCCTAACCTAACTTCACTACTATTTTTACCTAAAATAGGGCAGGGGCTACACTAGTGCCTTGATTATCCACGGCTCCGTTATCCATGATCCTCGATTATCTGTGGTTTTTCTTTTCCCCAGATTTTCTCAAAGTTATAGTTATGAAATATACAATCTTCAGTGTAACCAACAAAGAGGTTAGCATA